CTGCATTACCCATAGTAAGGAATATGCCACAATTCCCATAGCTTAGGGTCCTTTCAGTGATGCAGGATTTATATCATCAACCGTACGACTCTTAGTAATTATTCAGGCCCCTAGATTACTGTATGTGGCCTCAGGTTCCCCTGACTGGGATGTGGGTTTAGGCTTTCGAGAAGTACGAATTCGCAGCAATATTCCCGCTGCGGCATCTCTCTGCTTCAGCAACGGGCCCAAAACACATCAACCTTTCTAAGATTAACAGAAAATACATATATATATATACATATACATATACATATATATGTATGTATGTATATGTGTATATACATACATATGTATGTATACATATGTGTATATATATATATATATGTATAGGTATATATATATATGTGGGTATATATATACACATGTGTATATATATATATATGTATACGTATTGCGAACAACAAGTTTACATAGCTTTCCCATGGGCTGTTTATGATCTAACGGAAGATACCCAAGTGGTAAGTAATAGTATTCCTCAGATTTCTGACTTTCGGCAGCCTCAAACAACGAAATGGAGGTAAGTAGGATTGCAGATTCCTTATCTCTTCTTTGGGGTACCCCCACCTAGAAACCCTAAACCCTAAACGTTAGCATTTAGGGTTTAGGGCTTCATCCCACCCGTGGAGCTCTTTTCTAATATGAGAGCTTGGGTTTAGGGTTTAGGCTAAAGGGTTTAGGGTTTAGGGCTGCCAAGCCTTAGAGCTCCGATTGGCCTCTCCCTATGAAGTTTGCTGAAAAAGTTATGTAAGAATTCAGATGGCGTGCGACAAGGCTTTCTATCCCGGGCGACGACAGGCGAACGTGCCCCTAAACCCTAAACCCAAAAAACGCCTAACACCCCAAACCCCAAACCCTAAAACCCTAAAACCCTAAAACCCTAAAACCCTAAACTCTCGGATTCGGGAATGAAATCGTAGTACTAAATGGGGGGGCGTTACAACGAATTATTCCGATCCCTTTTCCATGCAAAGCAGCCCTGGCTCAGAGTTGGGATACTTGGAGGTTCATGGGTAGCTTATAAGTAGGGTTATAAGTAGGGTAACAGTAATTATAACCCATATTACGGGACTTATAACCCCATTTATAACTACCGATGAACCTCCATGCACACTTCCCTGCAAATCGAGGGACTGTGGCCCCCCAAACCCATGAACTCTATGAAACCTTACATTAGCACGCTTAATTAAACAAACCCCGGCCCAGCAAACCCCAAATCCCTCAATCCTAAACCCCAAAACTAAGCCCTGCAGACCCCTAATCCAGGTAATCATGGGGGCCCAGAATAATTAGAATAGGGTTTTGGGCGGCTCCTTGTTATAATTACAGCACAATACACCCCCCCTAAACCCTAAAGCCTAAACCCTAAACCCGAAGCCTTAAGGCCCCCTTTTTTGTTATGCACAAGCAGTCCTCGAAGCTCTCTCCTCCCATCACCTCTCAGGGATCCGGGTTCTGGCTTCTGTCACTAGCAGGCCTACTTTTCAAGGTTACTATAGGTTTTTATTTAGGGCTTAGGGTTTAGGGTTTAGTATAGGGTTTAGGGTTTAGGGTTTAAGGCCTAGGATGACTGTAGGAACCTGGTGAAGAAGCCCTGGCCCGCCAAAAAAAGCCCCAAAATATTAGGATGCATACTAGGTTAAAGGGGAGTTGGGGGTATATAGGGCTTCTATAAGGCTTCTATAAGGTATATAGACCTTCTATAAGGCTCCTATAGCGTCAACTACCCACCTGAAAATGTCCTAGATTAAGAGCCCTGTGTAGGACCCAGGGTTTCTTCTGCCGGTTCCGAAATGATCAGGGTTCTGGAAGGAGCTTATGGGATTTGACGGCTTAGGCTTCAGGGTTTAGGGTTTCAGGGTTTTTAGGGTTTAGGGTTTAGGGTTTAGGCGGCCATAGGGTTTAGTGCTTCATGGCGTTTTTTGCGGTGTTTTTGGTGTCAGTTGTGGAGCAAAGCAGATATGGCGGAGGATCTCCGCGAGTTCCATCTTGGTTTTCTCTGAAGCCCAGACTCCTAAACCCGAAACCCCCAAACCCCTAAAAACCCCTAACTAAAACCCAAAACCCACTAAACCCGAGGCCATAAACCCCTAAACCCGAGGCCCTAAACCCTAAACCCTAAGCCCTAGCCCTCACCATGGAGCGCCTGCCCATCGACAGGGATCGACACGCGTGCGTAGGCATGGCACTGCGCGATCAAAGCAAACGGGATGAGGCGACCAAGCATGACCTTGCTTTTGAAAGAGGGTTTAGGGCTTAGGGGTCTAGGGTTTAGGGTTTAGGGTTTAGCTTTTAAATTTTGGGGTTGAGGGTTTAGGGTTTCGGGCTCTTGGGTGTAGAGTTTAAGGCTTTAGGCCTAGGAGTGTTTAAGCTTTGGTGCGCCTCCTGAAGCCCAGAGAGCACACCAGCCTTGGTTTAGGGTTTAGGGTTTAGGGATAAGGCCAGTACTGGCTCGGGGCCTCTAAGCTAAAACCCTAAGCCCTAAAGTCCAAGAGAAATCAAGAACCATCCACTTCAACCCTAAACCCTAAACCCCTAAATCCTACTTAACACACCTGAAGTCTCTCCAACCCCAGCGAGAACAGCACAGCTTCATCCACAGGGCTGTCGCAGCAAAGTGCAAGCGAGTCGGAGCAGAGGCTTCAAGGCGCGTGCTTGAGCCAGCCGAGGCCGCAAAAGTCAGCACTGCTGTATGAAACTCGACTACCACTTCCGACCATCCCAGCCCCTCCCCCTAAACCCGAAGCCGAAACCTTAAACCCTAAACCCTAAACCCAAAACTCGAAGCCCTGAACCCAAAGCCCTACATCCTAAGCCCAAAGCCCTAAACCCTAAACCCTAAACCCTAAGCCCGAAACCCCAAAAGCCCGACGAATCCCAATTGAGGGCTCCATCTCATTATGATTTCAGATACATTTTCTAAGGGTTATACCTTATTATGATTTCAAGTAGACTCCTTAAATAGGGATTATAGTAGATTTTCTGATTTCAGGATTCTGACTTATTCTGCGTTCAAGTAGATTCCTTAAGTAATGGCTATACCATTAACATTATGATGATTTCAAGTAGATTCCTTAATTGAGGATGTTGCCTTACCATGATGTCAAACAGATCCCTTAATTGAGGATCCTACCTTTAATGTGGTTTCAGGCACATTCCTTAAGTAAGGATTATACCTCATTATGACTTCAGGTAGATTCCTTAATTGACTATAATACCTTTTTGTGATGTCAAGTAGATTAAGGGCTCTACCTGATAATGATGTCAGGTAGATTGATTGGTTAAGGGTTATAACTTATAATGATTTCTCAAGCAGATCCCTTAGCTTTGGGTTCTACCTTATTATAACTCTCCTCCACCTCCTGCTATCCTCCTACTCCTGATACTGCTACTGCTACTGCGACTGCGAGTGCGACTGGGACTGGGACTGGGACTGCGACTACGACTGCGACTGCGACTGCGCCTGCTACTGCTGCTTCGACTACTACGACTTCTACTGCTGCTGCTGCTGCTGCTGCTACTACTACTACTGCTACTACTGCGACGACGACGACTACTACTACTACTGCTACTACTGCGACGACGACGACGACGACGACTACTACTACTACTACTACTGCGACGACGACGACGACGACTACTACTACTACTACTAGTACGACTACTACTACCACTACCACTACCACTACCACTACTACTACTACTACTACTACTACTACTACTACTAGCTAGCTAGTACTAGTACTTTTTTTGGGGGGTTATGTTCGTTTGTTATTATAGGACCCTAGACATAAGATGTAGTAGCAGTGGCAGCAGCACTAACAGTAGCAGCTAGCAGTAGTTAATGGCAGGTGCACTTTGGGTTGCTGATATCATGGATCAAACACCCCATATAGATCCCTGCAGCAGCAAAATTTTAAGACGTTGACCTTAGGGGTTGATTGGCTTCATAACCGAGAGTGTGAGACTATAGGTCTATATACACCGCCTCTATAACTGTCGTATCATCACTATAGAGCAACACTATAGCTAGCAATGCATCGTATTCATCTTCATTTTCCCCACCTCGACATGCTACCAACTCCTCGAACCTGAAACCTATATCGGGACCCCTAGTGCAAACCCAGGAACCGAGGATGGTAGGGTTGCGGGTTGCTTTCGATCTGCAGAGAAAATAATCAGTTCTTTATGGGTTTCGGGGTGCATAATTACAGCGTATAATATTATTATACTGCTTATACGGCTTGGGGTTCAGGCTTTATTAATGTGCGAATTTGGTTCTGAAATCGTTGATCATGATCTCGGATCACGAATGGCAGAACTCTGCCGTATACAAGTAAGAACGATCTTACCCCAAAAAGCCCGAAACCCGTCGACTCAACCCTAAACCCCTAAACCCGAAACCCCTAAACCCGGAAAGCCCCCAAACCTTGAAGCCCGATAAGGATTATTATCGATAGGGGACACAGGGTGCAAGGCGATGGTTTCGAATTCGGAATTATAGTGTTTGGGGTCTAGGGGTTAAACACTACGATGCAGTGTGGCCGGTCCTGCCGGTGCAATATACGTGGGTTTAGGGTTTGGGGTTTAGGGTCTAGGGTCTATTTATATTAGGTGAATTCGACCGAGAAGCACTCCTGCCTGTTGCAAGCTCGTCGCGAACCCTTGGTACTCGGTGAGCTCCTGGTTGGCCTTGTTGTTGGCCTGTGAAAGGCTTGAAGGTATACGGGTGGTCATGTAATATACGATCCAAGGTTACTACAATTCGTGACGCTCCACTGACCTCCTTGGCTTGCTGCAGAATTGTCTTCGGCTTCTTGTCCTTGTTCGGCTTCGGCGGCTTGGGGGTCGTGCCGGTGGAGGTGTGCTGCTCGTTCAGCAATTTCTCCCTTAGAGAGCATACGAGTACTAACAAAGTAGCACATCCCGTACATGCACATATATATTGCAAGCTGAGAATCATCGCTTCAAAAGCCTCGCTCTCCTGGAGTTCGGCTTCCATTGCAACCTCCGCTGAAGTCTCCTGCCTCTTACCATGCCGTTCACTGGTCGCAGCGTAGTTCTTGTAGCGGTACAGATCCTGATCATATATTTGGTGTGATGCGGGGAAGTGTGACGGGACACTCTGCTGATTGGCGGTCCTCCCGGTGTGGGAAATCCGGGTGCCTGATCAGAATCATATGATCATCTGTAGCGGTGCACATGTATTTTGCGAACAAGATGCTGCTTGATGAAGCGCCCGCTTGCTTTCGGATCCTCTTTGAGGTGTCGAGCGACTAAATCCTCCGTGAGTTCTGGTCCCAGTTCTTCCAGCATGCGCTTTTTCGTCCACCACTGGTACTCGTCCTCGGTGTCGACTGAGTTCGTCGTCCTGTAGCAGGTTCGAAGACATGAGCTTATAAAATTAGGAACCCGGGGTTCAAATGGTTTGGGCTATTTAAAAGCTTCCAGATCGCATTTTTAATCCAAGGATTCCTGAGCCACTGAGCCCGCTGGTGGATGAAAGCAACTACTCCCTGGAGGCTTGGGCATCCAGCTTGGGGCTAAGAACGGTTGGAGGTTTTGGGGTATGGATCGGGTCTCTTAACAAAGCAGCACCTTCGTATTAATGATGTAAAGTAATAGAAGCAGCTAGCAGCTGAAGGAGTAGTAGTTGTAGTAGTAGTTGTAGAAGTAGAAGTAGTAGTAGCGGTAGTAGTAGTAGTAGTAGTAGTAGTAGTAGTAGTAGTAGTAGTGGTAGTAGTAGTAGTAGTAGTAGTAGTAGTAGTAGTAGAACAATAGTAGTGGTTTTAGTCGTAGGGGGTACTCGCATATATATGGTTTATGACTTAGAGTCGTAGCTACTGCAGATATGCAGCTTTAAGGTTGAGATTGATGAACTCGAAGGCTTTGGGGCTATATGTTTAGAGATTCGAGGTTTGAGCCCTACATATACATAAGTATACACTTAGCTACTCACATATCGATATATATATATATATATAGATATAAGGAAAATATATGGGATTTTATAATATCGTTTTAGTATGTGCCCTCTATATAATTATATGTAGTTTAAAGTACATATATATATATATATAATGATACATTTGTATATATGTGTTTTACTATTGTCCTTAATCCCAACCCCGGGCCTCATCTTCACCACAAGTCGGCAATCTCTCCACACGCCCTTGCACGACAAGTAGTGGAGGTACAGCTGGTGCATTTTGCAATGAGACCCCTCAGCGTCGACCCGCTGTCGTGCGATCTCGGGTTCGCAGTTGTCGCCTTAGCTACATATATATATATATATATACATACATATACATACAAACAGTATAAATACATACATAAATACATACATACATACACACACATATACATATACATATACTTATAAATATGCATATACATATACATATACATATGCACATACACATATATACACATATACA